CCATACTGCTCTATATAACCCACACCGCTCTATATTACGCCATACTGCTCTATATAACCTACGCCGCTCTATATTACTCCATACTGCTCTATATAAGCCACGCTGCTCTATATTACTCCATACTGCTCTATATAACTCACGCCACTCAATATTACTCCATACTGCTCTATATAACCCACGCCATTCTATATTACTCCATACTGCTCTATATTAACCCACACTGCTCTATATTACGCCATACTGCTCTATAAAACCCACGCGCTCTATATTACTCCATACTGCTCTATGTAACCCGTGCCGCTCTGTATTACTCCATACTGCTCTATATAACCCACGCCGCTCTATATTACCCAGTACTGATCTATATAACTCTCACTGCTCTGTACTATCCCATACTGCTCTATATCACCTAAGCCGTTATATATTACCCTATGCTGCTCTGTCACTCACGCCGCACTCTATTACCAGTGCCACTCTGTATTTCCTCATACTGCTCTGAATTACCTCTCAGCACTCTATATTTCCCCACAGTGCTCTATATTTCCACACACATACACTGCTCAGTATCACCTCACACTGCTCTATATCAACCCACACACTCTCTCTGTCTCTCATACTTACAATTGTAAGGTGCAATATGAAACTATGTGTACTCTCACTCTGACAGGTAAGAAAGAGCGTAAATCGGACTGTGGCGAGTGGCAGTGGAGTGTGTGTGTGGCTAACGAGGGTGACTGCGGCCTGGGCACCAGAGAGGGCACACGCACCGGCACCGACTGTAAACAAACCATCAAAACCCAGCGCTGCAAAATCCCCTGCAACTGGAAAAAGCAGTTTGGAGGTGAGAAGCCACACAAACACAGGTTGCATACACATACACAGGGCTCAGGGTAAATAAACCTGCACTGTGGAGTAACAGGATGGAGATTCTCACAGAATTCTGTCCTCAGAAATGACACGACTGCAGTGAGAGCCAGAAACAAGCTGGCAGAATATACCACTTTTTGTGTGTGTGTGTGAGAGAGAGAGAAAGCATATGCCACCATCCCTCGGGATTTGTAGGTATGCACATAAACTATCAACAAACACTGAAACTGTAGGGTGTTTTCTCTAAGAAGTCTCTCTCTGGGAATGTGCAAGACCATCTCGCTCTGAAAGAACATCAGAAATCACAGACTTAATAAAACATGATCACACTAAACGTTGAGTGATGAATCCTCTGTGTATTTCTGTGTAGTTCAGCAGCCGTGTCAGAATAGTTTAATGTCGAAATGCTGATGTCTAGTGCAGAATTTTTCCTCTTGAGTTATAAGGGTTCTATTTCACACCGGCCTCATTTTTGAGGGTCTCGATTCAGGACAGCGGCCATTCAGCCGGAGGGCTGCTGCATGTAATTACATTCTCTCTGCCTTTAAATATGTCATTAGAGACAATTTTGTGCTTGATTGAAGCAGTTTAACCCCCATCCATTCCGGCAGAGACCGAGAGAAATCACTCCAAAGCATGGACAGAAAGAATGAAAGATGAAATGAGACGAGAGATAAAGGAACGAGAGCATAGATCAGGGCTTCGCAATTGGTTTTGCTTCAGGATCCCGATTTTACATTAGCCATCGAGTGCCAACCCAACACAGTACCTAAATTGTTTATCGTGTAAAATTGCATTTTGATGGTTTCATGCTCTCGGCAGCCAATAATTCACCTCGCAAAACAAACCTCACTGTAAGTGAACCTGTATTTAATGTAGGCTGGGTTGTGTTTTCTTTTCCCTTGTGTAGCCAGCAACCTGTTTTACTTCCATAATCTGATGTTTTTCCAAGTGAAACAGGATATTCAACAAGAAAAAAATGTGGTTTTAAACTTTGGGAGTTATTGCATGGGGAAAAGTTTCTCCTTTGGACAGATGGTTGAAAAAAGAATTGGAGACGTCAGCTGAAAACTAGTTCAAGATTATGAAAACTAACATTTATTTTTTCAGAATAACATGCACTGATGTATCCTTCACAATAACACCAGGAAGATGTATTAAGACAGTAAATTTGGAAAACTTGTTTATGCATGTATGTTTTACTTTTGGGTTTATAGTGTATTTTTGACAGTTTCGTATAATTATGTTGCATTTGAATTCGTCAAAATCAAGTTGTGGGTTTTTGTCTTTTGCAGGTGAGTGTAAGTATGATTTTCAGGCATGGGGAGAGTGTGACTCGACCACGGGAATGAAGACGCGCACCGGCGTGCTGAAGCGAGCGCTGATGGACGCTAACTGCCCGAACACCGTCAGCGCCACCAAACCCTGCGGCAAACCCAAGCCCAAGATGCAAGGTACAAGAATACACCCATAAAGACATAAAATATATTGAGCATGACATGTACTCAACTTGAGTGAATGATTGGAGTGCTAAAAACATTTTTGCATTAAGGCAAGACACCACAGGTGAATAGGGTAAAAATGATAATTACCATACTTCCCTAGTTGATTAATCATTGCTTTGTATTACAAGTTTCCTGCATTGTTATGTTGAAATATGCAAACAATGCATTATCTAATTAACGATGCACTAATTTGCATACGTTTCCAGAACAGAGATCTGAACATTGGATAGATCCAGATTCAAACTTCTTGTTTCATTTTGTTGACTTATTACAGTGATTTTGGATTTCTCTTTTTATTACTCTATAAATCAGAAAATACTGTCAACAGCCAGAAAAAATACATTTCACAATGTTTTTAGGCATAAAATGCAATATAAACCAAGCAAATGATCTATGATATATAAACCCCTCATTAAAACTCTTCAGAATATAGATAGGAATACAACTGGAAAGTTTGACGTAAGCGCTGCTGAAATGGAGGAAAAACTGACAGCCTTTAAAGATTTGGATTGGAATTGAATTCTACAGATGCAGATGTTTATATTAAGGCAAAACACCACAAGTGAATAGGGTAAAAATTGTAATTACTATACTTCGCTAGTTGATTAATCACACTACAGTAATACAGTTGTTTTGTATTACAAGTTGAAATATGCAAACAATGCATTATCTAATTAAATATGCAGTAATATGCATGCATTTCCAGAACAGAGATCCGAACATTGGATAAAGATTTTTATAGAGGGGACTTTGGAAAAAAAATTTTCTCACTCCATAAATCAAAAAATGCTGTCAGCAATCAGGAAAAATGCATTTTCACCATGTTTTTTGGAATAAAATGTTGCATAAAACCCCAAACAACAAACAGAACCCTCTGTAATACCCTTCAGAATACAGAGAGGAATAAAACCAGTGTACAAGGAAAGTTCTGTGTGTATAAGTGAAGTAAAAAACTTATTTTGAGAAACGGGTTTGAAAGGTATTGGAATTAAATCTACAGATGCACATAGATAAATCTGAATAAAATAAACACTTAAATGTATTTTTGATGTTTTTTTCCCCCACTAGTCTGAAATAAGACATGTTATAAAAGCAAATTAGCCCAAAAACTGACCAGTGCATGAAAAAAAACTCAACTTTTTTGCCAGTAATGCCTTAAAAAGCATTAAGAATCCAAATGACCCATATTTATTTGTAATCCCACTTTTATTTCTGGACGTATCTTCAAATTAACCATGCAGCAATATGCTAATGTTTGCCATTATTGCAGACTATTCTCGTATTATTTTTATATACAGTATACAGGTTAGGTTAGGTTAGGTTACTTTATTCATACCCGCAGGTAAATTTGTCTTGCAGTAAAATGACAGTGACATCCATCCATAACACAAATTCAAAAAACACATTTAAAAATATAACACAACAGATAACAAAAATATGATACAAGATACATGATATAAATTCTCCAAGACTCCCCCATCCTACAGCTTATTTAACACAGTTAAAACAGCGGGAACAAAGCTGTTTTTATATCGCTTTGTTTTACACCTTGGGATTAAAAACCTCCGCCCAGAGGGAAGAAGCTGAAACTCACTGTGCAAAGGGTGGGAGTCATCATTTAAAATAGAAGTAGACATTCGTTGCAACTGTCTGGTATACAACGATGTTGGATCCAACTGTGACTCACCCACCAATCGACTAGACCATTTAACTATCTGGTTTAAAGAATTTCTCGCTTTTAAAGATGTTTGACCAAACCATACAACCAGAGAAACCCAGAAGGTCACACATTTGAGCTGCTCAGACCTGACCAGTTTCTCAAAAATGTTCATTAAAACTGAAGTCAGAGCGACTGGCCTAAAATCATTAATAATTCTAGGTTTACTACATTTTGGAACTGGGACAACCACTGCATCTTTCCATAGATTAGGTACATGTCTGTGATTTGAACCGCAGGACTGTTAGATCGTAAGGTTATGCTGAAATATTGATCAATAAGGTCTTTCTCTCTTTCTCGAGCTCAAGAAGATTCTAAAGACTCTATTAAAGTTTAATAAATGTGATGGTTTCACAGTGTATCTGTGTTAAAGGCCACAGACGGCTGGTTTGTGTTGTCGTCGTCGTCTATGCTTCATATTATTATGAAGGGGATATGCTGAGATTCATGGCAGCACTTGTACGTTACCGCAGTATTTCTACTGCTGCTGTCTCCCGCTGATGAATCCCTCGTGCTGTAATATTCCTCATTTGTAAGTCGCTTTGGATAAAAGCATCTGCTAAATGAATAACTGCAAATGTAAATGTTGGCAACAATTCAGGCTGATCAAAAGAAATTCGTCTTAATCTACCAAGAGCATCATTTTTCAATCTGAAAGTCACAATTTAATTTTCCACCGCAAAGAAAACACACAGACAGACAGCAGCATGTGCATTTATTTAACTGATAAAGATGTCGTGAAATGATTGTGTTCGGATGAAATGGACAGTGAACCAGTCAGAGATGACATTCGGGTCAAGAACAGCTTTTCTAAACCTCATTGTTGCTGTAAATGTTATTAACCAGTGTTCAAGTGCTGTAGTAACGGTTGTGAATGTCTGGATCAGAAAGAGAGAGGGAGGATGAGGAAGTGGAGGGGAGATGGATTTGTCTGGAATGAATAAAAACAGTAATAACTGTTTTCAACATTGATAATAATCATAAATGTTTCTTGAGCAGCAAATCAGCATATTAGAATGATTTCTGAAGATCGTGTGACACTGAAGACTGGAGTAATGATGCTAAAAATACAGCTTTAATCACAGGAATAAATTACAGTTTAACAATCTATCACATACATTTGATCACATATTTACTGTATTTTTGAGCAAATCAATGCAGCTTTGGTGAGCAGAAGAGACAAAAACATTACACAATCTTAATTATTCTAGACTTTTGACTGGTATTTAATTAATAAATTATGAAAGCAACATCTGAGCATATCAAATGTTCCTCTGGGACTGTGTGTGTGTGTGTGTGTGTGTGTGTGTGTGATGCTGTATCTATAGATAATGTGTGTCTGTGCCCTTTTCTGTGTGCCAACAAACAGAGGACAGAAGTGATTAGGAACTCCCTAGAAATTCCCTACAGATGGAACACTCACACACACACACACACACACACACTCACTCACACACACACACACACACACAGGTGAGAGGGGTGTTTTCGCCGGGGTCTGTTTGAGGTGATAAGAGCAGCAGCAGAGAGCATTGTGGGGGTTTGGGAGCGGGTGCCACTGTCACAGATGGATGAACGGAGGTAAACACACACACACACACACACACAGAGACACAGACACATCTCACCTGTTAGTGCGTCCCGCGGTACAGCAGGCCAGACAGGACGTCACATCACTCACGCTGATGTTCATGGTGAAGCGATGAGGATTTTCAGAGCCTCTGATTGGCCGGACGTCTGTTTGTGTCTCTCTGTTAGGTCACATGATTTGGCTCATATTACAGTTTTTTACGATTGCTTAAGCACAATTTTGAAAACAGGGCCCGGTTTGTCAAAACACTACACACAATTAACACAACCCTACACCAAAGTAGCACAACACTTCAGATCATTTGCAAAATGGAACACTTTTGTCAAAACTATACACAACTTTATAAAAACAATATTTTGTTACCATACGAAACACACACATTTCATATACATGTGTGTGTGTGTGTGTGTGTGTGTGCGTGCGTGCATGTGTGTGGATGACTCACAGATCACAGCTGCTCTAATGTTATTGCTCAGATGTCGCTCATTCAAAACTCAATGAGGCTTCATTGAAATGCTCAGTTATGTTTCATTTAATTTAATTACAAACTTGATTTCAGAAGTTTCTCAAACTCTTGTGGGGAAGTAAAATCGAACACAAACAAATATATATATATAGAGAGAGAGAGAGTTTGGAATAAATGTATAATACAGTATATAATACATAATATGAGTAATGTTTTTAATATAGCCGAAATATATTACAATTAGAATATATTTTAAAATGTAATTTAAGTTTTGCCATCACAGGATAAATTATATTTATTAATAGAAATCAGTCATTTTAAATTGTAATGTTTCTTATCTTATTTTATTTTATTTGTTTATTTATTTTTTGGTCAAATCAATGCAGCTTTGATGAGCAGGAGACTTCTTTCAAAAACATTTAAAAATCTTAATTATTTCAATCTTTGGACCTAAAAAAAATGTATGTATGTATTTATGTATTATTTTTCATCCACAGTATTTAATCTTGAATTGATGATAAATGTTTGAGATCTCTGATGTTTGTTGGCAGGCTTCTGTGATCCTGTGAAATCTGAGCACATGTTGAGACGTTGAGATCTCTAGAGGAGACACGCAGTTGATCTGTAGATCTCATTGTCATTCATCTTTCCTCCGGTTTTATTCTATAATTAGCCGTTGTTCTGCTGATGGTCTTCTGGTTGTTTTTGTGTTTGATTTGAATGGGTTTAATCTTTATGCGAATGAGATGCTAATGCTATGAACGCTTGGATGGCGTTATTGGACATGCAATCATCATCAGTCAGTTTAATGAAGATTTTCTGCACATTTTGATTGTTTTGTGTGAAATCGTAGATGTTTGGCGAGTTTAGACATGAATGCAGACGGCAGGTGTTGATGACAGCATGAACTTTTACACTTGATCAACTCTGATCAACAGGTGACGTCCACCAGCTCGAGAAGAATGTTAATTAAACTAAGTCAAGGTTCATTTCATCTCTGAGATGAGATTTATGCAGAGGAACCTTTATAAATATCCTCTTATAACAGTAGAATCATTCAGTGTGATTATCTGGATTTCTAGTGTCAGTAGCATTTTATACTGATATAAATAAAGTATTTTCTATTTAAAAATTATATTTAAAATAATAAATTTTATTTAAATTCTCATTATCATGCAAAAACATAACTAATGGAAAAATAATTCTGTTGAATGGTAAAATATTTACAGATCACAGTAGCGTTTAATGCTATTTGAATAAAAATAGTAATTTTAATATATTTTTAATTAATTAATTTAAAATAATAAATTAATTTCATTTTACATTTTTAATTTTATTCATATTTTTATAATGAAAAAATACTCTAATAGAAAAAAATGGTTGAATGGTAAAATATTCATAGATGACAATAACATTTTATGCTGATTTAAATAAACAAAAAAGCTATTTTTAATGTTAAACTATTTTTAAATTAACTAATTTAAAATAAATAATAAATTTATTTATTTATTAAATTTATTTATTTATGAGAATACAGGGTTAAATGTCTTTAATTGCCATTAAAATAATGTCTCAATGCAATTTTATCTTTAATTTGAAAATAAAAATAAAATACTGTAATACATAAAAAAATCATAATGAGAATTATTTTAAAAAATACCTCAAAAGCAAAATATTCAAATGTATCATCCATAATTAATGGGACAGAGAATACAGGGTTAAATGTCTTTAATTGCCATTAAAATAATGTCTCAATGCAAAACTGTCTTAATGTGCATGAAACAGGCTTCATTTTCTTTAAGCAAAAGGTTATTTCTTATTTTTATCTCTCTTGATTTGGGGCTGAAATAGGAGCTGGATGTGTTTTCATGAGATTTGTGTGTGTGTGTGCGTTTTTGTGACAAATGAGGACATAAATTTGTATAATAACAAAGGTATGACATAGGTATTACAAGGAGAAGGTGACTTTTCAGGACATTACCCCATGTCCCCACTTTTCAAAACGCTTATAAATCACACAGAATGGAGTGTATTGAAAATCTGAAATAGCACAAAGTTTCCTGTGAGGGATAGGTTTAGGGGTAGGGTTGGTGTAGCGCAATATAATATACGGTCTGTACAGTAGAAAAACCATTACGCCTATGGAGAGTCCCCACTTTTCACAAAAACAAACCTGTGTGAATGTGTGTGTGTGTGTGTTTAACATGACTGTCTGAAGCAAAGTGATGTATTGTTCGTCTCCCCACAGATTCACAGAAACCAAAACGGGAAGGAAAGAAGAAGGAGCGAAACCCGACAGACTAGAGGAGAAACTCCACCTGCTCTTCTGCTCCTCAGGCAGAGACGCGGATGTGAGCTGCAGAGATGATGCTGCTCCTTATTTACAATAGAATGTTTTTAGATCGTTTGTAGCTTTAATTTACAACTCACAGAATAATCCATCAATGATAAAAGAAACACAAATGAATTACTAAAATCTTCTGCTGAAACTTCTAATGTTGTACCACCAATTTCAGACCATCCAGCTGGCAAAAATATGTCCTGCTTTAGGTTATGAAAACATTTCTGAATGTTCTCTGGACCTCAAAGTCTAGTTTTTTTTTTTTATGTTTTAAAAACGTTTTTTTCGTGGTAATGCAAACATTAAGGGAACATTCCATTTTAGAAGTTTGCAAACATTAAGGGAATGTTAATTTTGAATGTCCTCTGAATGTTCTGAAACAAGTAAAGTAGCATTTAAAAATGTTAGATGAACAGCCAACGTTCTATGAATGATACATAAATAACCAGAAAAGTCTGAATGAATGTTCTATTAACGTTATTTGAAGAACGTTTGTTGATAACTTTGCCAGAAGGTTCTGAGAATGAACATGAACATCAGACATTAATAAAATGTCTTTTAATTCATGAGTGTGAATTGAAATGAACTGGCCTCGTCAAACAAGATGTTGAATTAGAATTTGAACTGCAATTTATAAACAAAAGAGATCCATTTAAGTAAATTAGTGCATTCTGGGAAATTAAATGTCCTTGCACTAAAGTAAAAGAAAAGACAAATTAAAAATGATCATTAATATCATCTGATGTTTCTGAAATATCCTAAACAAATAGGTACTGAGAAATAAAGCAATGTATCATTTAAAAATTCGAATTCGAATTCTGCATCCTCTTTGGAACCACAATTCAAATCAAGTTCAGATTCAGAAATTTAAATTCTCAATTCAGCCCTGATGGAGAATGAAATAAAAACATAACTAAACTAATACTTGAAATAAATGTAACATCATTTCCAGAAAATAAAGACGTTCATTATGTCTTCCCATCCATGTTTTATGTTTCTCGTGTCATTTGTTCTCTAAATGCTGAAATGAGCAGAACAGCTGAGTTATTAATCAGAACACTTTTATTTGCTAGAACTCTTCTCCAAAAGTATATCGCACGATACAGCAAATCTTATAAATACACTTCATGTTTTATCAGTGATCAACAATCCAGGATGCCGCTCATTGCCATAATAAAGATAGATAACATTCATATTCATTAATAAACACATGTATTTACATGTCATCTGTGCTACACATATAGACTATAGAGTATAATACAAACGTTAAGCTGATCACAAACCACACGTCTACTGATGGAAGCCACGACTCACAGCGAACAGAAGCACGGGACGCACGGCAGCAATGAAAAGAAACCATACTGAGTATTTACAGCGTCATCTGTACACACACAGCCACAGCTCGAAATATCAGCCTTTTTTTGGTAAACCGGTGCTTCTGCGAGGGTCCAGCGTTTTTTCAGAGTCTTTTGTCATGAGTGCTTCGATTTTAAGATGTAATGTTACGTTGAGAGACTCTTGTGTTCTGTTCAAGTCCATTGTGCTCTGCCTTAGACCAGAAACATACGCCACACAAGTACATATTTGAAAGAAGTCTCTTCTGCTCACCAAGGCTGCGTTTTTGATGAAAAATTCAGTAAAAAATGTGACAAATTATTAATATTTGAAATAACTCTTTTCTATGTGAATATAAATTAAAATGTAATTTATTTCTGTGATGCGCAGCTGAATTTTCAGCATCATTACTCCAGTTTTCAGTGTCACATTATCTTCAGAAATCATTCTAATATTCTGATTTGCTGCTCAAGAAACATTTCTGATTATTATCAATGTTGAAAACAAAAATTAATATATATTTTTTTGTAAACCATGGTACATTTTATTTTTCAGGATTCTTTGATGAATAGAAAATTCAAAAGAACCACTTTTATTTGAAATAGAAACTTTTATAACATTATAAATGTATTTACTGTCTCTTTTGAGCAATTCAATGTGTCCTTGATGAATAAAAGTATTTTTAAAAACAATGAAGACTGGAGTAATGATGCTGAAAATTCAGCTTGGCGTCACAAATATATATAACATTTTAAAGTATATATTAAAAAAACAGTCCTTTTAAATTGTGTAATAATATTTCACAATATTACTGTTTTTACTGTATTTTTGATCAAATAAATGCAGCCTTGGTGAGCAGAAGAGACTTGTTAAAAGATCCTAATGATTCCCCAGCTAACAAAAATATGTTCTAACAATGTTTTGCTAATATTCCCATTAGGTTATGAGAACAGCTTGGCGTCACAAATGTATATAACATTTTAAAGTATATATTAAAAAAACAGTCCTTTTAAATTGTGTAATAATATTTCACATTACTGTTTTTACTGTATTTTTGATCAAATAAATGCAGCCTTGGTGAGCAGAAGAGACTTGTTAAAAGATCCTAATGATTCCCCAGCTAACAAAAATATGTTCTAACAATGTTTTGCTAATATTCCCATTAGGTTATGAGAACGTTATTTCTGAATGTTCTCTGACTGTTCAAAACATCCAGTTTTTTAAATGTTTTAAAAATGTTTCTTGGTTTAATGAATGTTAATGTTATCATTTCACAAACAGTTACTTTTGAATGTTCTAAAATAGTAACATTTAAAAAATCTTAAATGAACGTTCCAAACGAAACATTTTAAAAAAAAGTTCCATGTTTTTGTGCTAATGTTTTGAGCACATTATTAAAGACCAGATAATAATTTGAGTAAACATTCTATTAATGTTACTGGAACATAACTTTGAGAGAACGCTCTGAGAACATTCCCTGTTTGCTGGGTCCAAACTTTTGACTGCTAGTGTAGCTATGCTTTGATATGTTATCTTGATTTTGTGTGTGTGTGTGTGTGGGTGTGTGTGTGTGTGTGTGTGTGTGTTTAATTTGAGTATTCTATTAATGTTACTGGAACATAACTTTGAGAGAACGCTCTGAGAACATTCCCTGTTCGCTGGGTCCAAACTTTTGACTGCTAGTGTAGCTATGCTTTGATATGTTATCTTGATTTTGTGTGTGTGTGTGTGTGTGTGTGTGTGTGTGTGTGTGTTTGTCGGTAGATGAGTTGGAAAGCTTTGTGTGCAGAGCATCCGTCTCTGAAGCCTGTCCAGCTACATAGAATCCTCACACAGTACCAGCTCATGGCTGAGCTGGGTCCTTTACCAATCTGGCAACCCAGCAGTGAAGATGAGGCATATATCTACAGAACAGGTAGACACATAAAAGGCATAAAAATGAATCCTCTCCATTTTATCTCCAGAGACATTGTGCTTTCTAGTGTACATTATGCATATGCATCTTTTCAATAGTTGATCTAGTGGAGAGTTTTGAGAACCACCCTCCTATTGTGCTGCCGAGTGCTGGATTCAAGGTGGACCTGGAGAGTGACAGTGTAGAGGACAGTATATACCGCCAACTACTTTACGTTCGTCACTTCCTTTGGGGTCTTCGTACCAAGACCCATTCTTCTAATGGCTGTGCAGACCGTCAGGATGCCCAGGTGACACATGATCCTTCAGAAATCATTCTAATATGCTGATCTGCTGTTCAAGAAACATTACTTATTTTTTACCAATGTTGAAAACTGTTATGCTGCTTTGTATTTTTTGTGGTATTTATCAGCATCTGACTTTTGCAAGTCATTCTTAATAACTGTGAACTAATTGAAGGACTGTAGCTTAAAACTTTAAGATTTAAATTCTAGACATGAGAGTCATTCTTAATTCGATTACAAGATTAGCTGTTTAAATAGGAGCTGCCGGCTAAATTATGGGCCATGTGTGAGTCAGTTTACAAAGAAATGCTACAAATTTCCCAGTGTTGCTACATTGTTTAAAGATTATCCAAGGCTTATTTCATTGTTTGTTTGTTTCTGTCATCAGTTTAATTGCCATGACAGTTCTTCCTTCACCAGAGTACTGGAGTAATGTTGATTTATCTTTCAACTACTCAGGCAGTTGAAAAAAAAAAAATGCACATTTCCTATTATAAACCCTTTAACAAAACACCTTTTTTTATATAACACTGGGAGATCAAAATCTATTTGAAGATAATAAAATTTCTCCAATGTATTTTGGATTTCCAGCAGAGGGCAGCCAATCCTATTAAATTATATGGTAGTCACTATATTAATGCATTGTAGCTGAAACTGTGGAGCCACTGTCTTCAAAATATTGTAGAAAATAATATAAACAAAGTCCTTTTCTCCAAAGCAAAATTTTGCAATTTTAAAATCATATTTTTTCATCTCATCATTGCATTCAGTCTATAAATATGCCAAAAGTCAACATGGAACCAGCATGTAAATAAATTAAAGGAATAACTGACATCTTTGATCTTAAGGTTTTTTTTTTTTTCATTATTATTAAGGGTTGTCAGCTTCTGTTTTGCTCTGTGATAAAATATCAATATTAATAAATTATGATAACATGGTAATAGAACATTCCCTGTTTGCTGGGTCCAAACTTTTGACTGCTAGTGTAGCTATGCTTTGATATGTTAACTTGATTTTGTGTGTGTGTGTGTTTGCTTTGCAAAATATGTCAGAATTGTCTCTTTCAGGTCAACTACTGTCATGGTGGAGCAACAATTTGAAGAGAATCGCACCAAACTAAATGGTCAACATGCTACACACAGCTACCTGAATAATGACACATCTGTATTTTGGATTCTTGTACATTCCTGTAGCTCAGACACAAGGTCATGGGTTCCATACTTGTGTGAAATATGTTCGCGGTCTTACAGTTCTTCTTAGATCTCTTCCTTTCAAACTTGCCATTAACAAACCACAAAAGGAAAAAACAACTACTTTGAAGTTTGCGAGTGTGCAGACGTTTCAGTTGCAACTTCCAGAAAGTCTGCGCGCTCTTGTGTCTGGAGTCTCTGTCGGTTAATGTTCATGTATGGCTTGATTCTTCTGCGCTTGAATCCACCGGACTGAAATAGGCTACTGTACGTCTTTTATATAGAATCATTTCACATATTGATTTAAAAAACGTTATAGAAAAGCATCTGCGAGTTGATAAAGTTTGCACGTCAGAGTTTCTCTATATGTTGTTTGTTTGTCTCGATAGGTAATCGGTAATTGTGTGTCTTTGGCAGCCGCTCTGCTATGATTAACTTTCATAAAAAATTTTATTAAAGTTTTTTTGTTTTTTACTCCAGAATGCATGTATTTGTACATCTCCATAAATAACTAATGAAATATAATGAAATATAACATTTTTCTCATTCAAGAAGCCATTTGACATGTGTCACAATAGTGAAGACAAGATTATCACAATTTCTGTTTCTTGTTGACTTTAAACAAAAATAAAGTAAAAGGATAGCAATCTAGATGGCTTGTTAGCTCACTAAGATGGACAGAAATATGTAATGCCTATATGTAATGCAAAGTAGATATTTCACAGATCATCATACTGTAAAATATGTACTTTGAGTCTGAACAAAATTGTAAAAAAAAAAAAATTTTTTATAGTATCAGTATCTTTGATGGGTATTATTTGGAAAAGTTTTCTTTCAATGTGTAGGGTTTGGATTTATTTGAGGTCACTATAATTCATTTTATATACAAACTGTAGAAGTCTGTGGTATATCCAGATTTACAGAGCTGGATAAGTGTGTGTGTGTGTGCGCTAAACTAATTCCAGCAGGGCACCAGTGGGATGGCAGTGGCTTTTTACAGGTTGTGACTGGCTGTGCTTCTGTAAAGATCATCTTATCTGGCGTCTCACACTCTCAGTGCTTATCCCTCGCTGGAGGACGACTGAGTGTGTCACACCAGCGCCGCCCCATTTAAGGATGGGGTTGCAGGACGGGACGCTCTGAACACTCACCAACACCTGCGCTATCTGTCCTGCTCGCAACTAATAACACACGGCTCCGCCGCACATCTCTCACGACCTCTGACCTCCAGCATACACACACTACTCGTCGGTGGGTAAAGCATTAGAATAACTGTACACTGTAAAAAATTATTGTGATTTTAACAGTAAAAGACTATAAAAGTGCTACAGTAAAAACCTGTTAGCTGGTTAACAGTAAGTTTCCATACTATATTTGGTAAATAAATGTAATTACATTTAATGTAATTTTACAGTAAAATACTGTTAAAAATACGGTTTTGGGAAGTGAAAGAAAAAGTCATTGTATAATTTACAGTGACAAACTGTAAATTGATAATCCCAGAATTCCCTGCATGACGCTTCATATTTGAT